TTACAGCTAACTCACGAATTAGGGACCAAAAGCCTGGTTTCTAGTTCTGGTTCCAGGTCTAGATTTGAGCAAGTCAACTTCACTCAGCTTTATTTTATTTTTCACCTATAAAATAGAAGTATCTACTCACTGATAGACATTGTATATAAAAGAAGAAATTGTCCATTTAGACACCGCATAGTAATTACACCACGATGTGGCTGACTCTGGTTTAGTCACTGAGGGTCCATCAACAAACAGAAACATGAAAATCTCTGCTCTTGCAGGGCTCACTGAATAATATAATTGGCCAGGTCACATGTTTTAGTTTTTTAACCTTGCTTAGTTATCCGCACCTTTATTTTTTGTTAATAAACATTTGCTGAATAAGGTATGTTCTAGGGTATTTATGAGCGGATTAAATCTACCAATCTATTACTGGGCCTAGTGATAGAGCAGGAAGAGGAAGCTAGATTCCAGATAGGATTTGGCTGCAAGCTAGCTTTGTGGCTATAAAAAAAAATGTGGTTTCATATCCTCATCTGTAAATAAGAGAATTGGATTACATCATCTCCAAGGCTCATTTTAGCTTTAAAATGTGCAGTTTTGTTTACTCCCACAGGGATCACTGCCCTCTTGGTGGCAGCTGGCAGCAAGCCAAAGAAGAACTTGCCAGTGTTCAGAATACACCCTGTCAATTCTAACAAAGTAGATGATGGGAAACATCACCATACCATGCTCTGGAGTGTGATTATATGACACTTTCTATTATTTCTTGTTATTTCAATTGCTTCTCAGCTAGAGCACACACTCTTGCAAGGCAGGAATAAAGAAGTGTATTATATCTATTATTTTCTGGACCCGGAAAGATTCCTTTGATATCAGAAGCCTGGATTTGTATTTCTAAAATTATCTATATTTTCCCCCTTGAGTAGGTCAAATGCTGCTCGTACTACCTTGTATGTTTTACTTATTAATCTGACTGATTAACCAACCCCATTTTATGTCATGAACAATATAAAATTTAGTTCTGCCCTTATCAGAATAATGTGTTCATTCCAGCTTAATGAAGTTTCATTATACTTGCATAAAAGCGGCGGGGTTGGTGGGGGAGGTTTGTAAAGACTAGAACTTTATATGCAGTACAGGTATATCTAGCCTGAGTACTACAATACCAAAGATGAAAGAATACACCAAAAGTTTCTAAGACACTTGTTTTGTTAGCACAGGAATGAAAACCAATTATAGAATTTGGAGGGAGTGAGGCAGTAGAGTGTGGTTAGGACATGTGTTTTGGAACTAGACTGCTGGCATTTGAATTTAAACTCTGTCAGTTTAAATTGGTAAACTTAAACTGGAGGTGACCTGGAGGTGACCCTAGGCAAGTTACTTTACCTATGTGTCAGTTTCCACATATCTCCTTTCATTTTATTAAAGATAAATTTTCATTTTACTGAAGATGGTAAGAGTACCAATGACAAATAATTAAATGAATTATTATTTGTAAAGTGTTTGAACAGTGCCTGACAAAGGGAGAGGAACTTCTAATTCTGCTCAGTTGTTTAGGAGGGAGTTAAATGAGAGGAATTAGGAGCAACAGAGACTGTATGTCACTTAAAGAAACTGGTTAACGTTAAAGGAAGGCAAAACATCGGACTGCACTTGTAGGAAGGAGTAGAGACAGTTGAGCACAGGTGTTTGCGTGTATTTTGTTTCAAGACAAGGGAAATCTCCATCTATTTGAAAGTGGATGGAAAGGAGCCAGTGGTCAGGAAGTTGGAAGGTGGGGGCGGATAGCTGTGGGAGTGGAATGACCTGTAGCAAGGACATAGGTAATCAGAGGTGAAGAGAGGGAATTCTAGGAGAGTTTCCTCTTAGTCCCTGCAAAATCTAGCTAGCTTTATGCCATGTTACAAATCTGGCATTGAAAATCTGGAAGTGACAGCACAGACCATCATAGCCATCAGATACTTAGGATCAAGCAGTGGATAGGGATAAATTAGTGAGCTGGTGTGGGTGAGCAGAGAGAACTGTTAATGACATGACAGAAAGAAGTTATAACCATGTGGTACCGCTGGGTCGTTCTGGAAGGAACCTCACAGACAAACTAGCGTGGTGTTCAGCCCGCAGAGGCAGCGTGTCTCTGTGAATACCGGCATCAGGCATCCTCAGCTGAACCATAACCAGCCACAGCATCCACAAACGAGCCATAGCAGCAGGCCAGACAGATGAGCTGTGTTTGTAGAGTCTCCATTGGGTGTTTGTGGAGTGCCCATTCACATATCAATCGTCTGTCAGAATTGCCATAGGAAAACAATTTGGCCCAAGAGTTAAATTCAGATCGGAAGATCAACACCGACCCTCCCTCCAAATACACAAATAAATAGCCTGCAGCACCTTAACTGAATTATTTTAAAATATCCTGTAATACATCTTAGTAAACAAGGCTGTTTTAAATGAAATCCTTGGACTCTCACATCCAGAGGGAGGATCAGCTTGGCTGGCAGATTGATATCTTACGTGTTTAGCAATTTGGGAAGAACACAGCAGAGCTGCAAGTTTAGTTGAAACAAGAACAAGATTTATTTCAGGCAGGAAGACCTTAGGCTGCATGAATGAAGATTTATGGCTACAAGAGCTGACATGTCTAAGAGAGGCCCATTAGTACCTGTTCATCCTTATACTTTCAAGACAGGCTGTATTTGGTGTGGATGAAGAACAGTATATTAAAGGGTTTAAGCATTAAATGAAATTAAAGGCAAAGGGGCTTGACATCACCTGACATAAGGCAGTCTTTGTCTTTTAGAAAACTTTCAAAGATACTTATGATTTGCCAAGATTTGCCTTGGAAACAATATGAAGGATATGTTAGAGAGAAGGAAAACTTGGGTCAAAAACATTAGTAACAAGGCTATTAGTAGATCAAATCATACATAATCTTCAATACACAACAATTTTAAAAAATGTAATTTATTTTTTAGAGCAGTCCACAGCAGAATTGAGAAGTACAAAGATTTTTCACAGAACTTCTGTCCCCATATAAGCATAGCTTCCTCCATCATCAATGTCCCTGGCCAGAGTGATATATTTGTTGCAATTGATGAAGCTACAATGACAGCATTATTACCCAAAGTCCATAGTTTACATTAGGGTTCATCCTTGCATTGCACATTCTATGGGTCTGGAAAAATGTATAATGATGTGTCTACTATTATGGAATTGTAGATTAGCTTCACAACCCTAAAAATCCTCTGTGCTCCACAAACAATGTCACTAGGAAAATACATGCTTCAGAACTCCTGGCTCTTCACAAACTACCTTGCAGTGCCTCATTCTTTTAGCTTTTTTTTTTTTTTTAATCTTCTGCTACTTAACATTATACAGGTATGTGATATCGAAATTCCTACAGCTGTAATCTGCTTCTGAAGTTTAGACAACAAATAATGCAAGCCCAAGGGCATTTCCTTTGTGAAGGCAGGCCTTTAAATAAGAATCAAGCAACATAATAGCAAGAAGAGAAACCTAGTGGTCAGCTAAGGTGAGAACTTATCCTAACCAGATCATTCTTCAGCATGCAGAGAATCCCCACATAGGAGTATAAAAGGGGGCTTTGAAAGTCTTGCAGAAAAAAAACACAAATAAACTTGTTTTCCTTTCTCCTCCAAGTCTGACCAGTCTTCCAGAACCATAAACTGTCTGTGCGAATTGCCACTAAACTTTTTCTGTTTGCTCTGAAATAGGTATTGGTCAAAGTGTAATTTTCGCTGCAAAGAAGACATGGCATTTTATGACTTCACATAACACTGCCTACCTAAAACAGAAATCACCCATTTGCTTAACACAATTAAGGATTGGAGAACTATATGTCTGTCTGGACGACTTATATAATGCCATGTCACTTAAGATGGTCACACTGTTTAAGATAATCTGAATTACATTTTTGAGAAAAAAAAAAAACCTTAAGAAATTAATTTAAAAAGGCTAAAGATAAAATAGAATTCATTTTATCCTGTCTTTTTCTTATGACTATTACTGAGAAATGTATAAACAAACAAATCATTTTTCAACTGTGACATCCGATGAATTTAGGCTATAATGTGGAGAGTGCTGTTGAGGGATGAGCCTCAGGACTGGCGGGGCAGGATTGTCCCCTCATGCCACAAGTGCTTATCCACTGTGGTTTATGTGCCAGGCACTGTGGTAGCTGCTGGAGACTCAGTGGCAAGCACAACCAGGTAGGGTTCCTGCTCTCATGACGCTTATAGCTTAGATACAATGACAATTATTCAATAAATAATCACACACATAACTATAAGTTTCAAACAACAGGACTTCCTGAAAGGAAAAACAGTAGATGTCATATAGTAGGGAACCAGTCTTAGTCAACAGGATGCTCTCCAAGAAAGTGATTCTCTAAGTTGAAATCAATCAGATGAGTAGAGGTTAGCCAGGTGATGAAGAAATGGAAGCATACTCCAGGCAGAAGGAAGTGCACAGGCCGTGAGGTATAAAGGAGATGACACTGTTTATAATGCTCAAAGATGGCTGGTGTAGCCTGAGCACATAAGACCAAAGGGGCAACAAGTTTGAAAAGAGGCTGAAGTTGCATCCCGAGGCCAGATAAAACAGCTTTTGAAGTCATGTTAAGAATTCTAGTCTTTATCCCAGAACAATGGGAAATCATGAAAAATAATAAGCTGGAGGGTGACTGAATTACATTTCCCTTCACCAATCACTTGAGGTCAATGAGTTTTTATTTAGCATTTAACAAGTCCTGTGATACCTTCCCCAGTCATAGCAGACATGGTCTCCGCCCGCAAGTGATATTTGGTGTGTAAGTGCAGGAGGAAATAAGTGTGAGTCAAAGCATGAACGTCGAAATGAGACTGTCTTAGGAAGATAATATCTAAAACATCCTTACTGATCAGTAGCCAATGTGACTTTGATATGCAAGTTTTGGTTTTGCTTTTCTTCCAAAATACTCAAGGAAGTGTTCTGTGAAATCCTCTGTCTGTTCACAGATCAGGTACCACACAGACAACTACGCATCCAGCTCCACCTCCTTACCCTGCCAGTGTTCCTCAACCCTGATGTGGAGTGACCATTTGGAAAGGTGAGATTTAGAAACTGCCAGGATTTACAGCATGGCCTCCCCCTATCTCTCTGTTCTAAGCTGAGTTCGTGCTATAAAGGCAGAATATCTCTGAGAATTAAAATGCAAATTAAGCATACACATCTGATTAAGAGTACTAGATTCCTTAGAGGAATTGTCGTTTTTAAAACTTTGCTTAAATTTCCTCCGACCAAGAAATTTTTGAAAATCTGATATTGTGACTGATCAAGTCTCTTGCCATGAAAGAATCTGTAAGTCACTGAATTTTTCATAGTAAGGACAGTGTCCAGGAGTATGTTACGGCTAAGCTACTCTATTTTAAATAGCTATCAGAATCCAGCGTGTTCGTTACATGGCTCATTTGGCTAGCACACTCTTAGTTGCACTTTTGATTAGATCTGTTTGGAATAAAACATGTACTTCAATGAATGAATACTCTAAAAGGCAGAACATAATGTCAAATGTGATGTATGTTTGGCCATATCAAATTTTGAGCTTTAGTTTCCTCCCTCAAACACCTCTTTTTAATATTTCTGTTAGTGGCTAATTGAGTGGAAAGTCTGCTGGGTATTACAGCATTGTGTGATTTCTTTTTCTTTTTAAGAAGAAATGTGAAAAGGCTCATTTTTGCAGAGGTAGTACACTTGACTTATCAAATGTGGAAAAGCATGCTAATTTTATTTTATTCTCCGGATAAGGCCAGGTACGGTAACTCCTCTGCCCTGTAAAAGTTGATATAATGGATATAAACATTCAAGCAGCTCAGCTTCTTTAGATGTTCATCCTCCCATGGTTGAGGGAGCTGAGAGATAATCTCCTGCTTTTCAGAGGAAGAGCTGAGTGTGTTTTTCCAATAGAGATGTAATGTGCCACTTATAGGATAAAAGCAAGCTGGTTGATTCTGGAAAATAGCTTTAAAATCATGAGTTCGATACAATTTTTACTCAACTCACACTTATCCTGTATCTTTCCATATATATACATATATAACAAACACACACACACACACACACACACACATATACACACACATATGTGCACACTGGGTACTGTCTTGGTATTATTACAGATTCCCCTAGAAAACAAATGAAGGGAAACAAAGAGAGACCTTATTTCCATCTCTTTTTTGATAGGTTCATTCTAACTCCATTTTTAATTTTTTAAAGTAAATCTTATTACACTTTTGCTCAGTTATAAAAATAAGCTCTGTTCTCTATAGAAACTTTGAAAAATGATGAAAATTAGAAAGAAAAGCAGTTTACTAAACTTTAACTGGTCAGCAAAAATTCGGTATCATATTAGTGTATGTTTTTCTATTCTTTTTCCTACAGTTTTTTATTTTGTTTTATACAGTTATGTTAATATTATGATATACATTTTTAAATCTTGTTCTCATTTCATTTAGCATAAAATAAGCATTTCTCAGACGATTTGCAAATTATTTGTAAAGCCATTATAATATTTAAGTAATATATATTATATTATATATATGTAATAATAATATTATAATCTAAATACACTATAGTTTACTTAACCATAATCTGTGGTCAAATTTGGCACACTGATGAAAATATTACTATATCATTACCCAAGTACTAAAATAAAGAAGTTTTAAAAACTGTTTATATATATTTTTACCATAAGGAGACTTTATAGAATAAGTTACATGTAATACTTAATGTTCTTTAAAGATACATGTAGAGTGTTTGCTAAAATAATTGTAGAGATTTAAAATTTCATCAACCCTGTGATAAAATGTGCTTCACTCTAACTGGTACTGTTGTACTATCTTTAAAAATAAATGAACAGAATACTTGTTCTGGTAGGAAAACGTTCTATTTCCTGGCTATTTCAGCTTGTATTCTTCCTTATTTCTTTTTAGGTTAGCATTATATACTAATTGGAAGTTGTTTTTAAAAGACTATGTGACCATTTATTGTGCCCACAATTGTTTCCTTTTTAAAATAAAACACCATGTAACTACTTCAGATGAGAATGTTTTAAGTTTAATGCAAACAAATTTTTTACTTATATTTTATTCTTCACACCATACACAAAATTAAAAAGCATTATCCCCATCTGTTCTTATTGCATATTTCTCTCTCTATTCTAACAGATAATGAAAGAATGGAGTTGGACATTTTATTGCAATTCCTGCTTCCCTGAATTTGTGTATTTCTTCCCGCATGAGAAGGAGAATTATATATTCTGATTTGATTATTTCTTCATTTTTATCTTTTTATTTTAATGATTGTTTTGTCAGTAATACCCATGGAGATGGATATTTATTATTATAATCGATGTCTTTGAATATTCAATTGGTTTCTTGGATGAGATTTTGAATATGCATTTAAGAAGAATTTCACAGATGATTGGAGGAAAAAGTGATGAAAAGAAAGGCCTGTGTTCCAGGAGTTTTTTCTAACTTCAAACCTTTACGTGACTCTTAACCAAAGCAAGCATCTTTACATTTCATGATAGCTTGATTTTACAATATGAGTTTGAAAAATTGGTATAAGTTTATGACAGTGACAAGTGAACATATTGAGAGCAATAATTCAATTAATAGGATATGAACTTAACAAGATATAAAAGCAAATGAAGACAGGAGGGAATCATGACAAAAATATTTATGCCAAATGTATAATTAACGTTTTAGAAATGTGTGCCTGTGGGCTTTGCATGGAACTAAAAGTTCCTAAGTCTCAGTTCTAATTTTGTGTCATTTAGTAACTCAGGAATCTGCTTAACTGTTATTTCTAAGCTTCTGATGACAAAGGAGTGACGCAGCTAAGGGAAACCTTGAAGTGTCGTGAGAAACAGATTTGAGATTAGATGATTAGCTGGGCAGTTAGAGTGATAAAGAAATCCAGGCAGGCCTTCTGATTCACCATAATCAAGTCATGATTTCTTAATATTTCTTTGCTGGCAATACACACAAAGGCAAAATTAATAAATAACATAGTGGTTGAATAACAAATTTTGTTACATTTTTATGAAATAAAAGAATCTATTTTGTCTGTGTTAAAATAAAAAACTTTGTGGACTTTCAAAAGACATGCTTGAGTCACTTAACAGTTTTCAACTGATATGCTGTTACCTGCTTTTAAATTCAACCAGCCTTTCTTCTTGTGCTTTTTTTCTTCCTCCCTTTCTTCTGTCCCCTCATTTATTTAATTGACCACATATTCACTGAGTGTCTCCATTCTGTCACCTATAGGACATCTTGAGAAGCAAAGAAAATATGGTATCGGAAGTTTTGCCATAGGATGCTACGCTGTGACTACATTATCATTTCTGCCAACTATAATTACTTAATAGAGTCCTTTTTTTTTTTTTTTTTTTTTTTTTTTTTTTTTTTGGTATAGTCTCACTCTGTTGCCCAGGTTGGAACATAGTGGTGCAGTCTCAGCTCACTGCAGTCTCCGCCTCCTGGGTTCAAGCGATTCTCCTTCCTCAGCCTCCCAAGTAGCTGGGATTACAGGCGATCACCACCACGCCTGGCTAATTTCTATATTTTGGTAGAGAGGGTGTTTCACCATGTTAGTCAGGCTGGTCTCAAACTGCTGGCCTCAAATGATCCGCCCACCTTGGCCTCCCAAAGTGTTGGAATTATAGGCATGAGCCACCGCACCCACCCAGTAGAGTCCTTCTTAAATAGCAGAACCAGTTGTGAATTAGCTGTAAATTATAACTATTTTCTTCTAAATCTATAGTTGAAATGGTCTTAACCAGCACAAAGCGAATGCTATATGTAAAATGAGTGTTACATAAAAGATCCTCAGAAAGCATTTACTATGTTTGATTCTTTACCCAGACTTATCTCTACCTATTTAATAGGAATCTCAATTTCAGCTATAAACTGGCTTTCTGACTGTGTGGGTTTAAATGTCATGAACAGAATCAACCGAAACATTTGGATGCTATTCTTGTTTACAAGACCTCACGATAATTTTTGTCCATGGAAAACCTACCCACTTCCCACATGTTCAGATCTCACCTCGTCCTCAGGCCTTGACAATTTAAGTATTTTTGCTCTTTCCTTACCTCTGTCCCCAGCTTTGAAGTTATATAGTACTAATTTCAACTATTGTATTGTACTATTCCTTGAATATTTTCATTGTTTATATCTCTTCCCATGTGACAAAACTGTAATTCACATGCTTAGTGTAGAGAACTCTTTTCTTAATTTTTTCCATAGGCCTCTTGGCACTAGTGAAGTGTTTGACACCTCGAAAGATGTTACTTGTTAAGTAAATTATCAGCAAAGGTAACATTTATGTACAACATTAAAATAAATGAACACGATAGTTCTTTATTTTTATGTTGTTCGTGTTATTGGTTATTGTCATTTCATGTTAAAGTTTCCTGGTTTAAAAATGTCTACATCCAGGCAGAATAACCACATTAATTATCCTTTTGTTTTGGGTTGTTTTTTTTTTTTCAAAGATAGAGTCTCACTCTGACACCTAGGCTAAAGTACAATGACACTATCTCGGCTCACTGCAACTTTGGCCTCCCTAATTCAAGCAATTCTTCTGCCTCAGCCTCCTGAGTAGCTGGGATTACAGGTGTTCATCACCACTCCCAGCTAATTTTTGTATTTTTAGTAGAGACGGGGTTTCACCATGTTAGCTAGGCTGTCTTGAACTCATAACCTCAAGTGATCCACCTAGTTCAGTCCCCCAATGCACTGGGATTACAGGTGTGAGCCATCATGCCCAGCCCACACGAAGTTTTATATAGCATGTTTAGTAAAGCTCTTTTTGTTAAAGTGATAAGTAATAAAACAATTGGAAAAGCTCAAAAAATAATGATTATTTGGCAAAGATATTTCTCATACAATGAGATTTACCTTTGTCCAATTAGTTTAAAATCTGATGTAGAGAAACTATATATCTATGTATACATATCAGTATGTATATATATAATACTTTAAAAGATAGACTTTAGTTTTTAGAGTAATTTTAGGTTCACCGCAAAATTGAGCAGGTACAGAGAACACTTTTGTTTATAATCTGCAGAAATGTATCCATTGTATACTAAATTCATTGAAAATAATGTTATATGTGTACTCAAATACTCTGGGTCATGATTCAGCAAAACGCTGATTTTTAACAAGTGCTTTTATCTTCATTTCCATTATTATTTTCAATAAACACAAATTCTCATCATTACATAACAAGGTTATAGTGAAGATAGAGCTAACCTTCCAAATAAAGTAAGATCCTTAGGAACTTTGCAAAAAAAAAAAAAAAAAAAAAAAAGTTACTTGTGAAGAACTGATGCTTGATCTACAGTTTTATTGTAATTATAGTAACTACTATAAATCTCTGTGGGATACATATGTAAAAAAATATAATACTAATGTGCTTTAAGTGGGCTGTATAGACATGAGTCCTGATTATACATATAATATAGTCTGTGTACTTCTAAACTTAGAGCTTTTGCTTTGGAAGAAATGAACTGCTCCCTACTCCAACCCCCATCCTATTGAAGCATTAGTGCTTTCATTCAGGATCAGTTGAACCGAGCATAAAAGAAAACACACAAACAAATAAACCAAAAACCCAGCTGTGCTGTTCGCAAGACAGTTTGGGCCAGGGTAATGTGAAGAGGTGTGCCAAGCCATGCTGAGATCTTAGAGCCAGCGATAGGTAAGAGAACAGAGAACGCTGTGTTTAGAAGCTTTGGCTTCCATCATGAGGTATATTTATCTAAGTTCTCCCAAGGAGGGAGGAGAGAAGTAGAGTCATTATCTTTTACATAATAAAATATATCCACAGAATATATGAAAATTCAGAGTTATTAGATCTGTATTTTTAGTATCTACAAAAATATTTTTAAAAATTAAATAATGAAATAAAAAGAAAATCAGACAAATGAATTAAGAGTTTTTCAACATCCTCAGTAATTGGAAGCACATTTCAAAGAAACCAGTTCTAAAGCTAATTGTCACTATGCAGGTATCTTAAGGATCTGTATAAAATATACTTTTCTCATTATATTTTTAGTTATTATGACTACAGAAGTGTTTAATTGCTGTCTTAAAAATATTCATGCTCATTTTTCATTAATACAGCCTTATTGACTATTTTATTAATTCAAAATGTTTCTAAGCTCATCCTAGATTTTTGACGACTATATCTTCATTCTCTGAATTTTTTTACTTTAAAATAATTTGTACAATATATATTTTTAGGAGCTTCTGTATTTTTATTTAAATACTCAACCACATTGTATGCTCTTATGGGCAGGACTTAAAGTAACTACAGAGTCTAGCACAGTCAGTGCTAAGCACATAGAAATGGGTCAATAAAAATGTGATAAATAGTCTTGGTGGACCAGACTGTAATATATGTGAATGATGCCTAAAACAAGTAGGTGACATCACACTTTGAGTAATGGTGACATTTAGTTGGCAGTTGATTCTCTATTTACATTTCTTCTTTGATATTGTGCCATTCTGGTCAGTCTTTAAATTTAAGTAGTACAAGGAAGTCTGTTTTAAACTTCTTGAAGAAAACAGCTGTATTTTTTTTTTAACATGGCATGACTGCTGTTAAGAAAAAGAAATGAGGTTTCACCATTGTGGAAATTAGTTCCACCATTGCGGAAGACAATAGTGATTCCTCAAGGATCTAGAACCAGAAATATCAATTAATCCAGCAATCTCATTACCTTGTATATACTCCCCAAAATATAAATCTTTCTACTCTAAAGACACATGCACATGTATGTTTATTGCAGCACTATTTACAATAGCAAAGACATGGAACCAACCCAAATGCCCATCAATGATAGACTGGATAAAGAAAATGTGGTACATATAAACCATGGAATACTATGCAGCCATAAAGAATGAGATCATGTCCTTTTCAGGGACATGGATGAAGCTGGAAGTCATCATCCTCAGCAAACTAACACAAGAACAGAAAACCAAACACTACATGTTCTCACTCATAAGTGGGAGTTGTACATTGAGAACACATGGGCACAAAGAGGGGAACAACACATACCAGGGCCCATTGGGGGATGGAGGTGAGAGGAGGGAACTTAGAGGATGGGTCAGTAGGTGCAGCAAACCACCATGGCACACACATACCTATGTAACAAACCTGCACGTTCTGCACATGTATCCTGTTTTTTTTTTTTTTTTAGAGGAAATAAGGAATAAATGTAAACAATGAAAAAAAATATAAATATAAGCCTGCATTTAAAATAACTTATTTTTTCTGTATTCATTTTTAAAAAATGTTTTATTTCCATAGGTTTTGGGGGAACAAGTGTTATTTGGTTACCTGAGTAAGTTCTTTAG